AATGTGCACGTCTCTCCTCTGTTAATGATTAACATATGTGGTTGCCTAATTCTACTGTCTTTATTAATGGTTTTCATATTTGAAATCTTTTGTTCCCACCATTATGTTTGAATCTTGTTTTCGCGATTGTAAGCTTTTTAGAAACTAAATATGAGATACTTAGAACCACCAATGTTGGCCAACGGAATGCATATACAATATATAGATTACATGTCATCGTCATTGGAGCACGAACATTTTACAAACTAAACAAAGCTACTGACAAGATTTATGTGTCTCACCAACATTACAAAGCCATATGTAGTTCATGTGTCTAAAAAGGTCCAGCTTATCTCTTCATCTATTTTTGCTTTTCTTTGGATCAAATAAGAATACATCAAGTTCAATAATTTGATGAGCCATAGGCTCAGTCTTGCAACGTGAGTACCGAACTCCCCAGATGGCATTTTCCCCTCTAATAATAAAGAGCAGATGGTGATGGAGCAATTGAGGTGTCCTTGGATCTCCGGTTTAATATAAAGATGACTTGAAAACCTATAGAAACTAGGAAACTTGTAGCTGTAAAAAGTTGTAAATTGAGTACGGTACCTTTGGCGAACGGATACTGTCGTTTGACGTTGACATGCCTTCTTCCTTTCCAGTGAAACCTCCAAATCGTGGGCAACCTCGTCGCAGGCCCCGGCCCCAGCCACTGCGCGATGCATACTTGCAAGACAAGGATGCACGTGTATACACCCACGAACCCGTAACTGAGTGCCCTCGTGGTCGCCACGGAGAGCAGAGCCGCCTGGAAGGCCAGCATCATGCAGACGAGCGACACCCACAAGAGCTGCAGCGCCGCCGCGAAGCTCTTCCACGAGCCGGCAGAGCGCGACGCCTTCCCATAGACGAGCAGAATCAACGCCACGATGGACGTTACCACGGCCCCGGTGTTCAAGAGCAGGAAGCTCTTGAATACAGCCTCGTCCTTGAGGTTCGCCTTGCCGTCGTCGCCGTACCCACCGGGCAAGTTGAACCCGGCGGCGAACGCGGCGGCGACGATGAGGCCGGCCACCACCGCGAGGCTGTCCGACGTGTTCTGTATCCCCTTCCGCACCATGTCGCGGCCAATCCACTGCTTCAGTTTGTCCTGCCTCTGCGGCCGGAGCTGTGCCCCGTAAGCGACTAGCGCGACCACCAGGCTTACCATTTTGAAGAAACTGGTGGTTGATCCGGCGGCGAGATCAAACGCTGTGTGACCATCGTTGTTCGGAACATTGGCCCGCACCTTGCCGTTGCGTAGCAGATCCTCCACGATGCCGGTCGATCCCGCTGCCACCGCGAGGTGGAGAGGTGTGTTCCCCAACCTATCCTGCGCGTCCAGGAGGCCGCGCAGCATGGGATTCTTGGTGGCGAGCGACACCACCGAGGAGCGCTTCTCCCGGGCCGCGGCGTGGACGAAAGTCTCGCCATTGCCGTCACGGAGCTCGGCGGCGTCGGGGCAGCTCCCTAGCATGTTCGTCACGACGCGGTGGTGTCCCATCCGCGCCGCGACGTGGAGAGCCGACAGGCCGCTCGAGTCCTTCTTGTACACCGTTCCCGGCGGCCCGGCGCGCAGGATTGCACGCACGATGCTGCGATCGCCGTCCGACGACGCGAAATGGAGCGGGCTGCTGCCGCTGCAGTCGACTTGGTCGGCCAGAGCTGGCCTCCATTCCAGTAGCAGGTGAACCATTTCTGCAGGCAACGCAAATGATCAACACATTAGTTCACTGCATTTTCTTCTTCTTCCAGTAATCCTTATTATGCAACCATTAAGAATCCAACAAGCAACTAACCTGAGCTCTGGAAAACGGCAGCGTGCAGAGCATTCTGTGCGCTTGGCCCCATCGATGACGCGTCCTTGCACTTGGTAATAATCGCTCTGACTGCTGACACCGAGCCGCTAATTACAGCCAAGTACAACGGCGACACGCCGGCGTTGTTCAGCTCGGCCGCCGGTTGTGCCGCCGCCGAGACCAGCACCTCCACCGCCGCGCCGTGCCCGTGCCTCGCCGCCAGGTGCAGGGCCGTGTCGCCTGCCTCGTTCTTGCATCCCAGAATGTTCTCGCCCGGCTCCCTGGCCAGCTCGACGAGGACCGCGACCGCCCTGGCGTGCCCAGCCCTCGCCGCGCAATGCATCGGCGTGTCCAGCGCCGTGTTCTGGCGAGAGAGGAGGCCCTGGTCCCTGAACCTGAGGTAGAGCTCCCGGATCAGCTCATGGTGCCCTTGCTCCGCAGCCACGTGTAGAGCGGTGTTCCTCTCCGCAGTCAACTCAAGTATGTCGCACTGACCGTGCATAACAACGCCTGAAACGGGTATTCAGGAAATTAGTACAATAACCGAATTCATGTGTCAAATGACGAGTTCAATTGGAGCCAAATTCATCGGATAGGTTAGGGACCGGGGTTTTCGAGGGAGGAGCCCTCAAATCAGAGTTCCTACTTTTTGATTCGAGGGCCTCCTACTTTGAGGGCATGAATTTTTTTTATTTGTTACAGAAGAAGCTCTCAAATCTATTCTAATAAACACTGACACATGTCCTCAGTCATTCTCTATTCTTCCCTCCTAAGCTACACCAGTGTGTGTGTGGGGGGAGAAGAATAATGAGGGGGATGGATCCGACAATGTCTCTACACATAGAAAGGGAGTCGCTGGGGAGTAGGCTGGGGAGAGGCACGCCATTAGCGGAACCGAAGGGGAGGACGACAACAGGAGAGTGGGAGGAGTACTCACTGGGGTAGGCCACACAGAGCATTGGGTGGGTGGGATAGACGTAAGAAACAGCGCACCCGGCAAGAGGAGTGTTAGGAAGTGTAGCGAGTGCTCGAGCGAGCTTAGTTTCAGATAGGTCCGGGAGATAAATGACTGAAACTGAAAAATATGGGCCTCATCTAGATTCCCAAAAACGAGGTCCGATCCCATAGGGAGAATTTAAGAGCCTTCTAATTTTATGGGGTCTAAGTAGGAGCCCTGCTCAACCTGTGTTTTTGACCTGAGCTTTCAAAATATGGTTTAGAAGCCTGTTTGAGGAGCTGCTAGAGTTACTCTTATTTGCTATTTCACTACCAACTCATCAAACAACTATCGCAGAAGCTTGCCGGTGCCTTAGTATTCAGCTCTTTCTTCCCTGTCTCATCTTTCACCCTTATTTGCTCCTAAGCCACCTACCGCACAACTACATGCTTTTTATTTTTGTGAGAATTATACAATTCTTTCCTTTAGTGCGTTATAGCTAGATGATGATTATCATGGTAGCTCCAAAATGAGTCTCCAAAAGTAATATTAAGATTAATAATAACAGTCATTTTGCCTTGGTGCTTTTATTTTTTTGGAAAACTTAAAATAAATAAAAAGGTTAAGATATAGAAAGATTTGAAATTTGCACAGTAGGTTGATGCAATTTATTTGTTCTCACCTAAAATTATAGATTTCTTTTATTTTAAAGAGAGGTGGTGTGTCCCGTATTTTTTGTGGTAGTTGTGTCGCCGTGAAATCAGTTGTTGTAAGTACAAGTGTTCCGATAGAAGGCATCATGACGGGGACATGCTTGGAAGTCTCTTTGACGTTGCTTTCCCATAAGGAGCCATCTACATTTGATTTGAATATTGACCGTTCAAACAGTCAACAAAGTCGCCACACGGGTATAGTTGACCAAAAGGCCCGCGGGCTGATGGTCCGGCCATGGCACAGGATTCTGGCTCGGTATGGCACGGTCTGGGTTAGTATTTCTTCCCTAGCATTGAGTCGTGCCGTGCCGGCCTGACCCTCATCGAGTCGTGCCCTCCGTGGGCCCGTACTATGTCAGGCCGAGCGGCGCATTTAATTTGGTCATTTATATGTCAGACCCTGCACTACATGCAGTATTTACCGACACAGGGCACGTTTAGCTCAAAAAATTTTCGTAAAAAGTGCTACAGTAGTCATCACATCGAATCTTGCGATACGTGCATGAAGCATTAAATGTAGACGAAAAAAAACTAATTGCACAGTTTGGTGAAAAATCGCGAGACGAACGTTTTGAGCCTAATTAATCCATGATTGAACACTAATTGTCAAATAAAAATGAAATTGCTACAGTAACCAAATTTCCAAAATTTGCTCAACTAAACGAGGCCGGTACGTGGCTAGAAAAATCTGCATGGATCAGACAACACTCTCAAGCATCCAATTTTGGATGTCTGGGTCAGTATTTCTTGCCTAGCAAGGCAATGCCTGTCACATTTCTATACAAACAAGCCCAGATTCTATAGATTGTGCGTAGTTGAATAGTCAACGATGTGACAATAATGCCCTCCAAACAACTTCTCCAAATTTTGGCTACGGAGAACTACTCCATGGACAATAATGTCCTCCAAACAACTTCTCCAAATTTTGGCTATGGAGAACTACTCCATGTTCGTTTCGCTGAAATTTGACTTATGCTGATGCTTATGCTAATTTGTTGTGAGAGGAAAACACTGTTCGTTCGCTGAAAAGTACTGTTGAAGTAGTGCTGTGGGGGTATACACTGTGTCTCTGGATATATGTAGTAAAAAAACATATCTATACCTACTAATAAAGTGGCAAAATTTTCGGCTATTTTTTTTCATCCATCTCTCCCTAACTCCCGGTAGTCGAGAGTTTCTTTCGTCTAGACTTATATGATCCTAGATAGTTAGGACAAATAGATCTCTCCAAGCCTAAATAGACTGAATAGAATAGGAATCCTAATTCAGATAGAAAACTTATTTTGCTTTCTATATAGGAAAGCGATTATTTCAACCCGGCTTTTTACTTCCATGACATTTTTTTTCTCCATCTCTTTTTCTCCGATGATCTCCTGTTCTGTTTTTTTGTCCGATTTTCCATAAACAATCACGGTTTCTTTTTTCTTTCCTCGATCTTTATTTTGTATGTATGGTTTTTGGTTTTACCATTATCATCGTGTGTGCGTCCACACCCTTGACACCAATAGTGTAGGTGGCGCCTGAGGGAGCGGGATGGATGTCGACGGGGGCTCCCTCTCTGGCTTGGTGACCGTGAGCCAGACCTCGGTGGGGATGTCGCTGGGATCCTTGCACCAGGCCCACAGGTCGAAGGATCTGGTGCGCACTCTACGACGCGTCCTCTCCTCCAGGTAGTGCACTTCGCAGCCATCACCGAGCGCCCGGACAGACACGTCCTCCGCCCAGCAGTGCAACGGGATGCCCTCAATGCGTACTTTGACACGGTACTCCTAGTTGGTGTTGTTGGCGGAGATCGAGGAACACCGCTCTACACGTGGCAGCAGAGCAAGGGCACCACGAGCTGATCCGGGAGCTCTACCTCAGGTTCAAGGGTCAGGGTCTCCTTTCTCGCCGGAACTCGGCGCTGGACACACCGCTGCATTGCGCGGCGAGGGCTGGGCACGTCAGGGCAGTCGCCGCTGTCCTCGTCGAGCTGGCCAGGGACCGTGGCGAGAACATTCTGGGATGCAAGAATGAGGCCGGGGACTCGGCCCCGCACCTGGCGGCGAGGCACGGGCTCGGCGCTACGGTGGAGGTCCTGGTCTCGGCGGCGGCAGAACCGGCGGCCGAGCTCAACAACGCCGGCGTGTCGCCTCTGTACTTGGCAGTAATCAGCGGGTCGGTGCAAGCGGTCAGAGCGATTACCACATGCAGGCACGCGTGATCTGCCGGGCCGAGCTCTCAGAATGCTCTGCACGCTGCTGTCTTCCAGAGCTCAGGTTAGTCGCTTATTTCCTCTTGCGGAGAAAAATTGTAATGTGTTGAGCATTTGCGTTGGCTGCAGAGATGGTTCACCTGCTACTGGAATGGAGGCCAGCTCTGGCAGACCAAGTCGACAGCAGCCCGCTCCACTTCGCGTCGTCCGACGGCGACCGCAAGATCGTGAACGCGATCCTGCGCGCCTCGCCGCCGAGCACGGTTTACAAGAAGGACTCGGGCGGTCTGTCGGTACTCCACGTCGCGGCGCGGATGGGGCACCACCGCGTCGTGGAGGACATGCTAGGGGGAGCTGCCCCGACGCCGCCGAGCTCCGCGACGGCAGCGGCGGTACCTTCGTCCACGCCGCGGCCAGGGACACGTGCTCCTCGGCGGTAGTGTCGCTCGCCATCAGGAGCCCCATGCTGCGCGGCCGCGGCCTCCTGGACGCGCAGGACAGGGACGGGAACACGCCGCTCCACCTCGCGGTGGCCGCGGGGTCGAACGGCGTCGTGGAGGCCCTGCTACGGAAGGGCAAGGTGCGTGCCGACGTTCTGAACAACGACGGTCACACGACGTTCGATCTCGGCGCCGAAGGATGGGCCGCCGGCTTCTTCGCCACGATAAGCCTGGTGGTGGCGCTAGTCGCCTACGGCGCACGGCTCCGGCCGCAGAGGAAGGACCAGCTGGAGCAGTGGGGCGGCCGCGACATGGTGCGGAAGGGGATACAGAACACGTCCGACAGCCTGGCGGTGGTGGCCGAGCTCGTCGTCGCCGCCGCGTTCGCCGCCGGGTTCAACCTGCCCGGAGGGTACGGCGACGACGGCAAGGCGAACCTCAAGGACGAGACCGTCTACTCTTTTGCAAGAAACATAGTCAGCTCTTCCACCTGCCTCTTTCTGACTTGGCATACTCCCAAATGATAAACCTGACCAACATCCTGGATAGTATAAACTTCACAGCTGAAAATGACTCTTGGGGTTATGTCTAGGGATCTAATCTATTTGCAGCAACCAAGGCCTACAAGAAGTTAATAGGCCATCACACAGTCCATCCTGTTTTTATCCGGCTTTGGAAGACCTTCTGCCAAACAAAGTTTTATTTTGGTTGCTCTTAAAAGATCGATTGAATACAAGAAACATCTTAAGAAGAAAAAACATGCACTTGGACTCGTCTAACTGTGAGCTCTCTGTCATCAACCAACCGAAGAAACAGTCACCCACCTCTTCCTGGAGTGCCCTTTTGCCAAGTTCTGTTGGAATCTCATCAACATACAAATTCCAGATAAGGCTTCCTTCCCTCAAGTGAACCTGCATTTCAGAAACCAACTGAATTGTGAATTCTTTATGAATGCTGTGATAATCATGTGTTGGACAATCTGGGGTGCTCGCAACAACCTGATTTTCAAAGGAATAGGTCCTGACCTTCAGTCAAGAAAACTGCTTTTAATAAGGAGATGACCTTAACTTCAATCAGAGTAAAAGAAAGTCGTTCAGAAGATTTCTGCTCATGGATCCAAAGCTGGTTGTAATTCAGAAAAAGAAAAGCATTTTTCCTTTCTTTTTTTGTTTCTTGAGCTTCCTTGTAAACTGTTGTACGTTTGGTTCGTCTTTAATTTAATTATTCTACTGTAGGGGCTTTGGCCCCTCCAGATTCTTCAAAAAAAAAGAAAAGAAAAAGAAACAACGACGATGACTGCTTAATAGCCGAATGATCTCTAAATCTATTATCCGGCCAATTATCGATGTGAAATCATGCCTTGGGCTAGCCAAATTTTGTTGTCAACGTGAATACTGCTTTTGGAGGCATTTCTGGTATTCATTGATAACATTTCATATGCACATATTGAGTATCATTGTTAAGGCTGGTGTTTATATTAAGTCGAGTTCATTTTGACCCTGGCTGGGCTTCAGGAATCTGAGGACTGAGCCTGCATTCTTGTACCACGGTGGCGACCTGGTCACATGGCCAGCATCCAGCAAAGAGAAACAAGGCCGCCGGTCGAATGATACAAGCCCTTGGAATTTCATTTCTCGCCCGTCTGCCGCCCTTCTCTGTCTACATGCTAGTAGCACCACAAACTTAAATAAAAGAGAAATATTTGCATCTAGCTGGAGTCTTAACCGTGTGACTGATCCAGATCGCGGTTTCATCTTATATATTCACACGCAGCTGCCCATCGCCTACCCTCCAGCAACGGCGGCGTAACAACCTGCAGCTTGATCCAATGGATCGTCGTCGGCAGCACTGCGTGCAGCTCGCCTGTCCGACGAGTGATTTGTCGGCAAATAATGCGAAGCCGATGAGGCAACCCAGTGACGATGCTGCACACTTGCTCATCAGCATGTGCCCTTCCCTCTATCTCGCAGTCTACAGTGGGAGGACGGAGAAGGTCATGGAGCTGCTTCTCCATCAAAAGGGCGCCGCGAGAGATGGCAAAGCTGCTGCTGGTAAGAACACAACATCAATTAAGTCCCTAAGTAGACCATTTGTTGCATCCGATCGATGTATAAGGTTTTTGTTCTTCCTAAACGAACTGTCATGAGGCCATGCCTATTTGACTGATACATGTGAGAGATTTAGTTTTTAGAAAACTGGCTAATAACCAGCTAGGAAAAAAAACAAAAGACTACGGCCATGCTATGCTAGTAGTATATAAGATAGAACAAATATTTTGCTCCAGCCAATATCCTGTTCTCTTTCACTACAAGTGAGGTCCTTGTGAATTTGTGTTACTGCAAGTTGACTTTCTTTCCTTTCAGACTTCCCATGTTATTAGTAAGGAAAGGTGTTGTAGTGCCCAGTGTGTGGAAGTTATGATTGCTTGTTCAGCACTCCTTTGGTGTTGTGCTTTGTGGCTACTATAAATATTTGTCCCACTGTTGACATAAAGATCGGTCAAACACCAAAGCACTAGAACGTGTGGATGACAATGGTATCAACTCGGCAATGATTCTACAGAAACCGTCCTAACCAATTTGCTTCAGCATTTTAACAATCTCAAATGGAAGCTTTGTTACGCGATTAACATGCCCCTTAGATTTTGTATTATTTTCTTCAGCATTTTAACAATCTCAAATGAAAAACTTCAAAACTATAAAGACTTGTAAATTTCGTCGATAGCTACAACTTTAATATAAAAAATATCTTCATTTGACACCTTTGAAGAAAAATATAATCTTCGTGAGGTGACAAGCCCTAGTGCACGATTAATATGCTGTTAAAAATTTATATTATTTTCTCAATCATCTTAACGATCTCAAATGTAAAAACTCAAAACTATAAAGTTATAAATCTAATTGAGAACTACAACTTTCAAATAAAAAGTATCTTCATTTGGCACCAAAAAAGATATTATTTTTCTAATGCGACAAGCGCTAGTACACGGTTATTATGCGGTTGAAATTTTATATCATTTTTTGAGCATTTTAACATCATCAAATGAAAAAACTCAAAACTAGAAAGTTGCCTCATTGAGATCTACAATTTTTATATACAAATCATCTTCATCTGACGTCGTATTGAAGAGTTATAATCTTTGTAAAGTTGAGTCTCGTCACACCACTCCCAGTGGCGCGAAGGTTTTCCACGAGATCTTGCCACGCCAACACATGTGAGCGACAGTGTTATTTTGTCACGCCAGCAGGACTGGTGCGACCAAAAGGGCTAGATCTGCAAAAAAAAAATTAGACGCAATTATTATTAAAATATTAAATAAAAAAGAATTAAAAAATAATAAAAATCCGCATAACTTCTACTTGCCCTCAAGCAATCGTGTTTGGTAAATATAGAAAAAAATAAAATTTAAAATTGCTTTAAATAAACGGAGTTGTGGGACCATGACGTTTATTGGAACATAAATTACAATTTAGACATTGGTTTGCTACACCAGTATCCATCTTATTTTATGGAGGCAGTTAAGGTGCAACCGTCGCGCAAAAGGGCGAGCGCGCGACCCCGCTGCGGCAATAGCCGCCGTCTCTTGCGTCCCTACTGCTGAGCACCACGCCCCCCCTAAGGCCGTTGGAGGTAGAGAAGAAGAGGAAGCCATCTCGGCGGTCGCAGTCACGTGGTGGAGTCGGAGCGCTACCGGTCATGGGATTGAGTTTGCGTATTCTATATGGGCCCTCGTTTAGTTCGGCCCGAATTCGGCGCCGGCAAAGTCACTGTAGCCACGGTAGCTACTGTAGCATTCATTTGTATTTGGTAATAATTGTCCAAACGTTGACTAATTAGGCTAAAAACGTTCGTCTCGCAAAGTACAACCAAACTGTGCAATTAGTTTTTGATTTCGTCAATATTTAGTACTCCATGCATGTACCGCAAGTTTGATGTGACGGGGAATCTTCTTTTTGCATAGTATCAAAGTTTGGAATTTAGGGTAACTAAACACCCCCTGGGTTGGAGTTAGATTGAGCTAAAAAAATTACTAAATTTTTACATTAAACAATCTATCCTAGGTCCCCAACAGATCAAACATATGAAATAAGGTGGACACTAGTGCAGCTAAGCAAGACATTAGGTAGCTTACGGGTTTACCTATTCTAAGTCAACTTATACTGACGTGTTTCAGGCATTCGTCATGGACAGTGCGACATACTCGAAGTGAGTGCTGAAAGGAACACTGCTCTCCACGTGGCTGCGGAGCAAGGCCATGACGAGCTGATCCAGGAGCTCTACCACAGGTTCAGGGAGCATGGCCTCCTCCTGTCTCACCGCAACTCGGCGCTCGACACGCCACTGCACTGCGCGGCGAGGGCGGGGCACGTCAGGGCCGTCGCGGTCCTCGCGCAGCTGTCCCGGGACTGCGGCGAGAGCATCCTCGGATGCAGAAACGAGGCCGGGGACACGGCCCTGCACCTGGCCGCAAGGCACGGGTATCACATGGTGGTGGAGGCGCTGGTATCGGCGGCAGGCCCGGCGGCTGAGCTCAACAACGCCGGCGTGTCGCCGCTTTATCTGGCGGTGATGAGCGGATCGGTGCAAGCAGTCAAAGCGATTACCATGTGCAAGGACGCGTCGTCGGCCGGGCCGAGCTCACAGAATGCTCTACACGCGGCTGTCTTCCAGAGCTCAGGTTAGTTGCTTGCCAACTGCCTAAGAATTGCTTGGGAAACAAAAATGTCTTCAGCATGTGCGTTGCCTGCAGAAATGGTTGACGTGCTACTGGAGTGGAGACCAGCTCTCGCAGACCAAGTGGACAGCAGCGCAGCAGCTCGCTCCATTTCGCGTCGTCAGCCGGCGACCGCAGCATCGTGCACGCGCTCCTACGCGCCGCGCCGCCGACAACGGTGTACAAGAAGGACTCGGCCGGTCTGTCGGCTCTCCACGTCGCGGCGCGAATGGGACACCACCGCGTGGCGAAGGGCATGCTAAGGAGCTACCCGGACGCTGCCGAGCTCCGCGACGGTAATGGCGGGACCTTCCTGCACACCGCGTGCAGGGAGAAGCAGCTGTCCGTGGTGTCTGTTGTCATCAAGAGCCGCACGCTGCGCGGTGTCCTGCTGGACGCGCACGACAGGGACGGGAACACGGCGCTCCACCACCTCGCGGTGGCCGCGGGCGCGCCGGCCGTCGTGGAGGCCCTGCTGCGGAAGGGCGAGGCGCGGGCCGACTCCTGAACAGCGACGGCGACACGGCGTTCGACCTCGCCGCGGCGTCGATCAGCTCGTTCACGATGGTGAGGCTGGTGGTGACGCTGGTCGCGTACGGGGCGCGGCTCCGGCCGCAGAGGCAGGACCAGCTGATGCCGTGGAGCGGCAACGACGTCGTGCAGGGGATCCAGAGGACGCCCGACAGCCTGGCGGTGGTGGCCGTGATCATCGCCACCTCGGCGTTCGCGGCCGGGTTCAACGTGCCCGGCGGGTACAGCGACGCCACGGGCCAGGCGCACCTCGCGAGGAAGAAGTTCGTCTTCGACACCTTCTTGTTCCTGGACATGTTCGCCGTGGCGACGTCCGTGGTCGCTGTGATCCTGCTCGTCTACGAGAAGACGTCGCGCTCCGCCGTCGGCTCGTTTAAGAGCTTCGCGTGGGCGCTGCAGTGCATGTGGGTATCACTCATGACCCTGATGCTGGCTTTCTACGTGGCTCTGGTGGCCGTGGTGACCACAAGTGCTGTCAGTCAGTACGGGTTGATGGCTATAGAGGCGTGCATCTGTGCCTTGCAAATATGCCTAACGACGTGGATGAGGCCTGCAAAGACGTGGAGAACAATCTGGAGGCATATAAGACAGTGCAGTCACGCGAAAGGAGGGAATGTGATCAAGCGGCAGTATCCTCTCGCTGGCGCTTTCGTACTCCACTCCTGTTTGTTTACAGTTATAAGTAATATAGGGGGTCTCATTTTTTGGGGCACAACAAATGGGAGACTGGGCACGCGCACCTCAGTTGCCCCCCCCCTGTTTAGAGAGAGAAAAAGTGCAGCATATCCATCGAGGCATTGCTACCATCGTTGTGCCAGTTACTCCCTTTATTATGAATAATGGTAAGTTTTTCCAAATACATGCTTTTACTATGGATTTAGACATCATGTATATCTTAGTGCGTAGCAAAAACCATGTACCTAGAAAAAATAAAAATGACTTATAGTTTGGAATAAGTGGAGTACTTGATAAATTTAATTCTAGTGAACAGCATAATCATAACTTGAGCTATACCACTCCATCTTCCAAGTGGAAGCACCCAATTCAACATGTTGTAACGATTTTAATCAGAAATGCAATCGTCATTGACAGACGTTTCACTTAGTTTGTCATAGAAAATGTGTACTGATGCACCTTCTGTAACGCCAGGCTTTTTGTCATCGAAAAATCACATGAAAACCCTATTCCTGATAGTTTCTGAACATCATAGAAGGTCAAACGTGCTACAGTATAGAGGAAGTGACTACAATACAATTACTAATGTTTCTACCAAAGCACCAACACAGGGAAACGACACAGATGCCACTAACACCGTTCGGAGATTCTATAACACAAGTTGCCCCCTCTCCATTTAGAGAAAAAAAAAGTGTAGCATATCAATCGAGGCATTGCTACCATCGGCCATGTGAGTTACTTGATAAATTTGATTCTAGCAAACTGTATATCTATAATGTCACCTCTCAGCTTGCCACTCCATCGTCCAAGTGGTAGCATCCTATTGAACATGTTGTAATAGTTTTACGCGGAAATGCAATTGTCAATGAAGTAGTTGGGGTTCACTTTGTTTGTCATAGAAAATGTGTACTGAATACTGATAAAGCGCCAGGATTTTTTTGTCAGTGGAGCATCACAAAATGAAACCCTGCTCGTGAAATCTTCTAAATGTCATAGAACGTCAAATGTGCTGTAGTGAAGAAGGAAGCGACAACAATATAATCAACACAACAACACACTACCATAACCAACGTGTCCACCAAAGCACCAACACCAACACCATCCCGCATGTCACAACAACAATCACGGGGAGTTTTTTCCATAGGGAGTTCGTTCCACATTGATGCAAGGCACAAGGTGTGTCAATAATGGAGAGGCCATACCAATGGGTGAGGGTGGCAACAGGGCCGGAAGCCCCTCTATATACCTCAACTTGGAGCAAAATGACGAAGTAGTTCATGTCTATATATCCGTAGGTGAGACAACTCTTATTGGGAACAATGATGGATCCGAGTATTCAAACTATATGTAGGTGCAAATTTATACCGAGAGTGACACAACCACAACAACTAGGCACCTAGGGGCAAGCGGGCCCTAAGAAAGTTGCCCAAGGGCTAACATGTTATTACCTTGTTGGATCCAATTAGAGAGCCCATTGAGCCAATTAGTGTCATGGGCCCGTATATGGCCATCAGGGTGAACGTGAAGGAAAACATCCTCATAAAGTATAGGTACCAGATTTCTAAGGATAAGGACTGGGAGGTTCCGATCCGGGTCAAAAATTTTGCTAGGAGAAGGTGAAGGAGAAGTTCGTTTTAGCCTCTCGCTGGCGCTTCCGTATTCCACTTCTGTCTGTTTACAATTATAAGTAGTGTAGGGTTTCTCATTTTTTGGGTCATGATAGAGGGGAGACTGGGCACCTCAGTTGCCCCCGGCCCCTCTCCTGTTTAGAGAGAAAAAAGTGCAGCATATCAGTCAAGGCATTGCTACCATCGTCGTGCCAGTTACTCCTTCCATTACAAATTATAAGTCATTCTAGTTTTTTCTAAATATATAGCTTTTACTATAAATCTAGACATCATGTATAACTAGGTGCATAGCAAAGTTGTACCTAGAAAAACTAAAACGACTTATAATTTAGAATAAGGGGAGTATTTGATAAATTTGACTCTAGTGAATTGTGTAATTAATCATAACTTCAGTTGTGTCACTCCATCTTCCAAGTGGCAAAACGAATTCAACATGTTGTAATATTTTTACTCAGAAATGCAATTGTCACTGAGTGAGTGACGGTTCTCTTTGTTTGTCATAGAAAATGTGTACTGATGCACCTTCTGTAATGCCAGGTATTTCTTTGTCACCGAAAAATCACAAAAAAAAACTATTCTTGATAGTTTCTGAACATCATAGAAGGTCAAACGTGCTAAAGTAATAGAGGACGTGACAACAATAAAATCAACACAATATTGTTACCAACGTTTCCACCAAAGCAGCAACACAGGGAAATGACACAGATGCCACTAATAACGTTCGAAGATTCTAACACAAGTTTTATCAACTAGAGACCCCCAAAGTAAAGGAGAGTGGCCTCACTACAAAACCTCCAATGAGGGATGTACTGCTAAAGGTCTCACCACTACCGACCTCAGCAAGAAGTCGAGCAAGGCATTCATGGTTGTGTTGTTATCACCGATAGTAAGTGTGGTATGTCGTGTGAGTAGCAGATTTTTAGATGGTAGCACATGATGCATAAAGTTTATACCGTTATAACCCTCGTGAGGAGGTAACACCATACGTCTTGTGTCTTTGGATCATATTGCTTGTGTGTCATATGTGAAGAGAGGTATACAAAGGCTAAGAAACTGATCAGGGGACTCCTTACCTAAAATCTCTAGTTTGGTTTTGGATAATTGATGAAACCCAGTGTACTAACCCTTGTCATTAAGTGTTGTGATTGAGATAGGGTGGTACACACCAAGTGATGGAGCTAGATGATGGTCATGGTAATGGTGGTGACCAAAAGAGATGATCAAGTGCTCCAATTTGAAAAAGAAGAAAGAGAAAAACAAAAACCAAGTGTTGATCAAGGCAAAGGTATCAAATAGGTTTTTGTTTTCGCACTCAAGACACCATGGAAGGTGTGAGTGTGTTTAGGATCGATAGCCGTACTATAAAGAGGGGAAATATTTGGCTAAGCAGTTATCGAGTGCCACTAGGTGAAGTCATTGCATATGCATTGGGGACCTAGTGTGCTAACAATTAACCCTTAAAAATGCTTGGAAAAATGCTAACACACGTGCACATGGGTTATACACTTTGTGGTTAGCAACTTAAGCAAGGGTGAAGTAGTTGAAGTGTTAGAAAAAGAAAAGGAGAAGAAGAAGTGAACCGAACCACAGTGACCTAGGGGGTCAGGACCTGGTGGGGCGGTTCGGAACCAAACCCTAAGCTAGAGGGCTGTTGTAGGTGTTCGGACCTGCTCGGCGGTGGTTCCGAACCATCTCGGTCGGGTCCGATTAGCACGGTGAGAGCGTATGCAGACCACAGAGGCATGGCTGCTCCGGACCTGTCGCCGCATGTGAGTTTGGAAGCTCAGTGCGCGTGTTCGAATATGACACACGAGCAAGAAAGGAGGCGACATGGTGCAAGTTAGTGTTCCAGAACCGCTTTCTGCGTGGTCCTGGATGCCTCGAGCAGATCGGGTCCATCCTCTCTGGAGCTCTCTAGATGCTCTGGAGTGTTCTGAGTCCATGGGTCCTGTGGTCCCGGTCTCGGTGCTTGAGTCTAGTCCAGTTGCACTAAGTGAGAGTCGTTGGCACCGATCAAGTGACCGTTGAGATCTAGCGATTGTAGTTCAAAGGAGGGACGGTGGCGCGAATCCAAGAACCGAACCTTCCCTATAGATGGTCCAGACCTTGGGTGGGTCCTAGGGTCCGGTCGGCCCGAGTGAGTAATAGCTAGTGGAGGTCATGGACCTCCATAAATAGAAGGAGCATGCCTTGGGCTCACTTGATCTCTTGCATATTTTCTTGAAAGTGATACCTCCTTGTGAGCCTAAACAAACACCTCCCACTCATCTCCATCATTGATTCACCATCTTTGAGATTGGGAGTGATTCCTAGTGCATTTGCTTGAGTGATTGCATCTAGTGGCACTTGGGCATCATTGTGGCTACATATTTCTTGTTACTCTTGGTGGTTGCCGCCATCTAAACAGCTTAGAGCAGTGGAGGAGCATCGGTATGAGTTGGTGATTGTTCGTGGCCATCTCCCGGTGATTGTGAGGGGTCTTGTACCTTCCCTGGTAGAGAGCCAAAAGGTAACTCTAGTGGATTGCGCGTGTCATTGAGCTACCTGTGGGTAGGTTCTTGCAGCGCCCAAGTGGTGGGCTAGGTGTGTGATACCTATTAGCCACTGAACCACCAAGTGTTGGTTGACACAACGGAGACTAGCGTGCCAGCAAGTACGTGAACCTCGGGAGAAAAATCTTTTGTCAACTGTATGATTAGACTTCTCTCGGTGATTCACTTGGTATTCATATTGCAATTGATCATCTCACTTGCCACGGTGGTATAATCACCTCGCTCTCCCTTGTATTTACATTGTTACATACTTGTGTAGTAGTAGCTCTTGTGTAGAGTAGAATTGTTAGCTTGACTTACTCTCTTGATAGAAGTAATAGTTCTTGTGCTAGCTAGCCCACTAGTGAAGAAATAGCAACATAGTCATTTGTGTGCCATAGAGACTATAATTCACTAGAATTGTTTGGAATAGGTGGCTTGCATCTCTTGGTAGAGCTAGAGCAAAACTTGCTATCGCCATTTGTTGTTCTAATCATTTTGCTCTAGTGATTTGTAGACTTTTAATTAGGCTATTCACCCCCCTCTAGCCATTTAGGACCTTTCATTACCCCTTCTTATATAGTTGGTGGTAGGAGGATCATAGAGAAATCCTATCCTGATCGATTTACAAATTAGTTTCCTAATTTGTTACAATGTAATCTAGGTATATCAGGGTATATGCATGTCTATGCCTTGTACAACATGTTGGTGGAGACTCTCAGGTATATGTTGGATTCCATGTAGTCAGCCTAGCCCATCCTATGTCTAAAAGGCCATATGTATCCTCCATGATGATACACTGGGATCTTATCATCGTTAGTAGGTCCGGAGTCCCTCAAGATCAAGCTACAAATATGTTGGTGGTGAATCTGTCTTAGCCTAGTGTTTTATCTTCCTCCCTTGGAAAACTATCCCGAGTTATGCACTCCTAGGCCCCCCTCTTCCTTGCTTGCAAGGAGACCATGATGGACTTGATGATGATTACTCGCAAAACAAAAATAAGCCATGTAATATTCACTCGTGGGGTAGGAATAGTATGGAAAATGATCTAATAACATATTAGTCCAAGTGGTATCCCATGAATCTACGTAATGGATGGTGATATAAGACTCATGACCTAGCAGGGGTTATACCATTAATTTTGAGTGGTATCTATTTTCCCAAGTAATTCGAGGCTAGCTTATGTCCATTTGGGGGAATATCCTCATAATTTTCTCTGGGTGGCCCAGTGATGCCACTTGGTATTGTATGTCCTCTATAGGGGAAAGGCGTTGTCATAATGACACTTCACCCAAATTGCCTTCATATTTCCTATGCTCTTTCGCCTTCTAAACTCTCCACACACTGAGCATATGCCTCTTCTATTAGATAAAATCCGGATTCAACCTTCAGTACCACCGTCACTCCCTCACTTCCAAACCTGGCCTATATTGGGATATCGTGACCCTAGATCTAACATGTCACCATTGATGATGCCAGTGACCATCAAGGAGGACCCATTATTTGAGGAGGAGGAAGCATCGTACCAAGTCAACACATAGCCTTCTTCTATATCCGATGGGGTTAAGCATGGACAATGCATTCATACTATATCATATAAATAATTCACGTTGTCGGGGGCCGATACCCATTGTGTCCAATGGCGCGGCCTACGAAGCACTTCGGGTGGCCCAGCTGGCCATGGTCCAACATCCGTGGCCCGCCTTGACCACTCTCTTCCCCCAACCATGTAGCACGCAGCCGCCTCGACCACCTTTGGCCTCGACCAACCAGGTATGAAAAGGACTAGAGGTGGTTGGCGCATTAAATATATCTGCCCTGACAGGATGCACACACAGTCCTCTAGGACAGAGAAGGACCACCACCCAATGGACCGTAGGGTCTTGGCGTGCATCGACCACCCTTTGGACCCATAGGGTCCTGAGGTGAAGCGTCACCCCTCGGACCGCCCCATCACTAAGTCAAGGACTACACAGTGACAGAGCGGCGTCACGATCGCCCAACCCATACCTGACTCGACAAGTAGGAGTACGGCCATACTGACCATGGGCATGGGTCTTTGAAAGGTCCTAATGGATAGAGGGGGGTGAATAGCCTATTAAAAAATCTATAACAACACTAAGCCAAGAGGTTAGATAATTATGAGGCGAAGCAAGTGTTGCGCTAGCCTACTAAAAATGCAAGCCACCTACCAATAATTCTAGTCAATTATGATCACTAGGCAATCAAGGGCTATGTCGCTACACTCTACACTAGTTGAGCTAGCTAGGAACTAATTACAACTAAGAAGCTAGGCTACACAACTAGCTACAACTACCACAAGCTTTACACAAGGTAAATACACAAAGTAATGCAAGAGAATGGTAGAGGAGATATACCGCCGTGGCAAGTGATCAATCAATGAATACCAAAGAATACCAAGGAGACAAATGATGACACAATGATTTTTCCTCCAAGGTTCACTTGCTTGCCGGCAAGCTAGTCCCTATTGTAGCGATTCACTCACTTGGTGGTTCACGTGCTAATAGGCATCACACGCCTAACTCGCAACCGGGTGCCGCACAACCAACACAAGATGAGGATCCACAAGCCACGTACAATCCACTAGAGTTGTCTTTGGCACTCCGCCGAGGAAGGCATAAGAACCCCTCACAAGCTCAATGATCGGAGCTGGCAACAATCACCAATAGCCGCTCAATGATCCACCAATCACCGGGCCGTCTAGCTTTCGGCAAACACCAAGAGTAACAAGAACTCCACCAGCCCAAATCACCCACCTAGTGCCACAAGATGCTAAATCACTAAGCAATGCACTAGAGGCTCTTCAATCTCACTCAAGCTGATGAAATCAAGTGTAGAAGTGAGTGGAGTGTGTTAGCTTGCTCACAATATGAAATCTTAGCACTTTAGGGTTCCAAGAGAGTGGCCATGGCTGGCCAAGGGGACTATTTATAAGCCCCACAACGAAAAAGAGCCATTACCCCTTGGAACTGGTTTCTGCGAGGCCACCGGACACGATGGTGGTGGCACCGGACATGGGGTGGAGGTGCCCCCCAACGGTCGACTCAACGGCTAGTTTGACTGGCCGAGCGGGCACCGGAAGGCGGCGGTGGCACCGCCCTAGGGAGGGCGGAGACCAAGTCACCCGAGACCCCCTCTCTGAAAAATAGGGCGGTGGCACCAGACACAGGGTGGCGGTGCCCTATCTGGTGACCACCCCCGGTTCCCTTGCTCTTTGGATAAAAGTGGCGGTGACCAGGCGGTGCACCGCCCTCATCGAGGCAGTGAACATCGGACATGGCGGTGACCGTGCCCACGCTGCTTCTTGGGACACTGCCAGGTGGGCACCGCCCTAGGGGTGGCGATGCCACCAGACAGAGGGTGGCGGTGCCCCCAAGGTACCACTTCACACTCGGTTTTGTCTCCTTTTCTTCACCTTTGTCACCACCTTTGTAAATGTGCTAACACTCCAAGTGTTTCACCATCACGTGCAAGTGTGTTAGCATTTTCACAATCATTTTTCAAAAGTTAATCACTTCTCACCGATTCTGCACTTGGCCTAAAATGCATATGCAAGTTTTCCAACACCTAGTGGCACTAGATGATCGAGTTGTCCGATAAGGGCTCCCCTCTTAATAGTACGATCATCTATCCTAAATGTGATCACACTCTCTAAGTGTCTTGATCAACAAAACATGTGTCCACACTATCACCATGATCTTCATTTCATGTGGCCATCTCCATCCATGAGTGCCACTTAGCTCCATCACTTGGGTTGGACCAACCTATCTCACATCCACACTTAGAGCATAGGGTTAGTCCAAATAAGTTTTATCAATTATCCAAACTAAACTAGGGCTTTCAGTCTCATAACCAGGAGCTAGTCTCCTCAGAACCAGTCAGGCCAGAGGACCCCCGACCCGATCGCATGTGGCTGGGAGAGGCATCACCACGACTGAAGAGGCCGACGGTCAGCATTGGATGGCTGCTCTGTTCACGCGCTAGTGCCACGACGCCTCACCTAGGATGGCGGGTGCCAGGACAAAGGCCACGATGCACGCACTATGGACCCATGTTTCACATGTGCCGCTATGGTACACCATACCTTAATGCGGGGAGCAAGAACCTGTGACGATACTCGAACGTGCAACAGAAGCATGAACAAGACGTAGAGGACCCACAGACCAAGCTCGCCAACCACCCTCCCCTCGGGCTCTCGACCACTCAGGTCGGGAGCACCTTTCCCTCTCGACTGTCACCCGACCCCCAAAGAGTATATAAGGGGAGCCGGGCCTTCATTCTAGATAGGACTCTCGGGAGGATAGAATTTCTGCTATCTTGAATCCTCTGACTCCCGCATCCACGCTTACGAGCGCCCCCGTTGTAAGCCTTTAGGGCACTTGAACCGAGGAACATGAACTCGAACCCCTTTGAGACTGGACGTAGGGCTCTATCCTAAACCAGCATAATTTCCCCGTGTCTCAAGTGCTACCATCGACTCCTAGAGCAACGCGGCGCTAAATTTACTAGTCGGTCCATGAAACACCGACACATGTATACACGTTTTGGTCTATGAAGCTCTCAGTTTCTACTGCAATTTGCTTTGCATATGAAATAGTTTGTTGTTTGATGATTTGTAGTTTGATATGTGGATAGATAGCCACCAATGATCGGGCACAACTAGCATTGGCCAAGTCGAGGATGTCATTGGCCTGGCTAGGGCTGGCTGATAGTGGCCGGGGGTCGCCTGGTCAGCCGTGGTTCGTTTTTAGTCACCTGAAGGCCGGCGGTGGGTGGTTAGGGGCGGCCACTCCTGGCTTCATGGGCTAGCGACAGGGCAATCTAGGGGTGGCGATGACACACAAATAGGTGAGTTGATGTAAAAAGAGAGTTGTGGGATCTTTTTTTTGTTTTTACTAGAAGTTAGTACAGAAAACAAATAGAGAGTAGGATAAATTAAAGTTGCTACTTATATTTTATTAACTTACTAAAAATTATTGGTTTACCTAGTGTGTGTGCGCTTTTTTACGAAGCTCTAGGAGTTATTCGGAGGAGAAACCTTCTTTATTTTTCCTTGTGAAAGAAACTCTGTTTCTAAGGGGTGTTTGGATGCAGTGGCTAAAATTTAAGAGGTGTCACATCAGATGTTACATGAGGTGTCGCATGGGGTGTTCGGATACTAAAAAAAATAAATTACAGAATCCGTCAGTAATCCGCAAGACGAATTTATTAAGCCTAATTAATCCGTTATTAGCACATGATTACTGTATCACCGCATTGTTAAATTATAAATTAATTATGTTTAATAAATTTGCCTCATAAATTAATCCTAACCTGTACATTTAGTTTTATAATTAGAGTATATTTAATACCGGTCCGACGGGAGAGCGACTAAAGTCTCCCGACCCAGCAAGGGCCCAATATAAAACAGCTGAAGCCTCAAAGCGGCGGCTCCAGCCACCGGCTGTCCTGTCCACAAGTCCTCTCTGGTCCGGTCTCCAACCGGCCGGAAAGAGATACAGAGCGGGAGCGCGGTCCCCAAGCGCCGCAGTACACCAGCCATGGAGGCGAGCGGCAGTCGGGGCCGGAGCGGGAGCGCGGTCCCCAAGCGCCGCAGAGGCGTCGGCGCGGCTACTGGCTCCGAGTCGACGGCGCAGTCGCTGAACGACGACACCCTCCGGTCCGTCTTCTCCCGGCTGGACAACCACTTCGACCTCGCCCGCTGCTCCGCCGTGTGCGGCTCATGGTGAGCTCCTCCTCCTCCCCCTTTCCCTTTTCCTTTCCCTTCAGTGGTCGGCCTGGTTGCTGCAATCAGGTCCCTTCGTTATACGATATCTTGTTTCGAGTTCATCCATAATTTTGACTGTAAATCTGTGTGCCTGCTGTTAGTGAACTCATTCGGGGGTTTCTGTTCTACTCCAGTTCTATCTTCTTTGGAGTGGGGAAAAGACTAATTTTGATGGTAAAAGGGGTACCATTTTCACCAGGAAGCTGGGTAATTTTAGTGGAATTATTTGCTACTCATCATAGACGGAGGTTTGTTATTTTAGTGTGATTATTTGCTACTCATGATAGACAAAGATTTGTTATTTTATTTTATTGGAATTATTTGCTACTGACCACGCTGGACTACTTTCTCTCTGTGTTTTATGTGCTATTATTGATGTAACCTATTTGCTGCAATAGAACACACCTGAACCATTATATTAGGTCTCTTGTGCTACAAAGTAGGTGTAGCCATAGGCTTGTGGCTCTCCGAGATGTGTTTTGGTCTCACCGTTTATTTCAGATCCTGATCTGAACCATGATACCTTGAGGAGGTTAACTTGTGTTATGTATTAATAAGGATGCTATTTCTGATTCTTGGTACCAATTTTTATACCATAATTTTTTGCGATAGAGTATTATAGACCATGTTTTTTGTTTGACCTTTTCTGTTTCATGCATTTCTCCTGTTTCAATTGTTGCATGAGTGTTCTCAAAACTCTGAGGCTATGTATCTGTGTTGATTAACATTTGCAGTATGTTTTTCTCCATGGTTTTATAGGAATAGGATAATTGAAACAGCTCATCTCATGAGGGATCTGTATTACAAAAGGAATCCATCAGCAAGAGGTTCAAGCTCTAACGTTTCTGTAAAAAGTTACTTTGAGATGCTTGCCATGGATGAGCATGCATCCTCTTTCTCTAGAGGACCTGCTGAAGCTTTTCAGTGGATTGGGCACCCAATACGGTAAACACTCATGTTATACCTCATATAATTGTGTAAAATGACAGGGGTTCCCATTCATTAGGTCATCAAACATCATGTCTTTATATTCTCTACTATGACAAATCACACTATATTTCTGATGTACTGTACATCATATGAGTAGTGGCTCAATATTTATATTTGTTTTCTTTCAGTTTCTTATTTTTTATTTCAGGGCTACCTTGTGCCGTATGAAGGGTGGTTCAATTTTAACTGGAGTTGGAGATAAGGTGAGTACTGCATCATATCATGTTCTTAATAGTTTTCATCAACATGAGTATCAAATTTAATTTGGAGTTATGGTAAGTAAATTACAGTTATTGTTTAATTATTATTATTGAGCTAGACACTGTAGACATTGCAACAACCCATCTATATTTAGAAATGTCTACATGTAGGATGCCTAGCAAATTCTTTTTGAAGTAATGGTGTAAAATATGGCTCTACCAGACAATACCATAACTACACATAACATGATTATGCTATTGTGGATGGCATAGTTGGCTTGCCCTATTGATCAATCAAAGTTTCGATAATTGACTATGACTTCAATTGATCATTTTCTTCTCTCAGTCCCTAATCTTTTTTCTCATCACCAATGGTTCATAGTTTTAAGAATATATATACATGATTTTTTGCCAGATTCTCCGACTTTGGTCTGCTGAAAGCTGCAAATTTATGAATGAATACAATGTGCCAAATTCTAAAACATTAGTCGACTTCGATTTTGATGAAAATAAGGTAATCACTGTTGGTGTGCTTCCAGTTTCTGTTATTTGGGTATCACATGCTGTGGTCTTTGTGTTTGATTGCAAGACCCAACGTTACCTGTGCATCACCTATTTATATGTCGCAATCTTCATCTGTTCTTCCAAAAGAACAAATAGTATAACACGTAAACTGGGTGAGTTTGTATTTCCATTTGTTGTAGCATACCATCCAGACTTTTATTTTGTTAATGGAAGATGTGCTGAACACTGATGTTTTTATTGAAATAGCTTTGTTTTAAAATTTTCAGCCATATCATGTCTTTTCTAATAAAGTGTTAACTCCTTATTTACCTACTACAAATTTGTTTTGAATGCTCTGTGAAGATTGTAGGTTTAACTAGCTCCCAGATTTGCATATGGAGACGCAGTGAACCAAGAAGCATATTTCAATCTGGTGGAGCCTCATTCAATCATGGGTTATGCATGAGGTGAGGAGACTTGTTTGATTTGTTTCACTTTTTCAGATTAATTACAAGATTGGGTGTTAGCTGCTAGCCACCTATTACCAATTTTTTGAAGTTGTGCTTGAAAGTATCCAGTTGCACTGGAGGAGTCATGCATAAGCTTTAGCAAATCCCACCTTTATTTGATTAGCCTAGAAAATGATGTTTTTATTTTTTAATTAGCATTTATGTACCTCATGTCATTTCCTGGTGTAGTTATGCTGATCCAGAGGTTGTAATTGGTTGTGAGGATGGTCGAGCCTTTGTATATGATATGTACAGCAGGAGTTGCTCAAGCATTTATCGGCAAGTGTTATTCCTTTTAAACTGTTAGCATTTATGTTCCATGAGAACAAGCTTCAGTTCATTCAGCTGGCAGTATTGCAAATATGTAGATTTGAGTAATTTTAAAACTTGTGCGAACTTTATTTTCCACACCATTAAAGTTGAGAATAATCAAATAGCTGTAATTGTAAGAGTAGTGAAAACAAAGAAATTATTAATATTTCTACATAAAGAAATTTTGTATCTCGAAGTTAATGTATAGTTCTGTTTTGTATATTACTGTGTCGTGGAATTGATGCCTGTTTAATATTTGTACTACAGGCTTCATTCCTCTCCTGTGACATGCTTGGCATTAACAGATGACCAGCTGATTGTTGGTGGTTCGACATTTGGAACTGTAGCTATCATGAGATCAAACCTCAGGGCAGAAGTTAGGTGTTCTGAAATCAGCTTATGCACCATTGGGTAAGCATTCAACTACGTAAGCATGGTTATTAGTTGATGACTCTTAAGGATGAGCAATGACTAAGGCCTAGAATTTTCCACACCCAAATAATATGGAACTTTTGTAACACCATTTAAGGTGTTCCTTCTAGCTATAGCCCTGATCCCATAGATGTTACTTGTTAACTTAAAACAAATTCCTATGATGCTTGTCTCATTCCCTTGTTTCATTTCAAGGTAACAGCAGAACTTTTCTGATTGCTGGCCGTTTATAGGACATCAAAATTTTAATCACAATATGCAATTTGTTAAGAGGTAAAAGATATATTTATGGCTAGATGTCAAAAGAATATATTATTTCAAAGCTCAACAATTTAACATATACCATTTTTCTCTTGGCTTTCCTATACAACATTGCTGGTGTCCCAAATGTCAAACCAAAGAAACAGTACAGTATTTTTACTTTTCAGAACTGTTGTGTGCCTATATAAATGTTCTTTCATTTATTAAGTAGTGATGTTGTATATATGCCTAATCCGTATTCTCTTACTTATGTTATTTTAATTTTTAATTGTCTAAAAATACAGATAATCTAATCTTGGTTTGGTAGATCAATTTTTTAGTGGCAGTTGGTTATCATTCATTGGATATTTTGAAGTGTAACTAATCAAAACTCATGGTAACATAATGTTGTGATTTCAACAACTAAGTTTTGGTTTTCTTTTTCATTATTTCAGCAATAAGATCCTTATCTTTCTGCACAAATTCACACATGATATTTGCTGGGTCATCGGCTGGTTATGCTCATTGCTGGGACTTAAGGTTAGTAACAATGATACTCATTGGTTGTCAGTTTGCCAATATATAAGGCTGTATCAAATATCAATGAACCATGGACATTTCAGCATTGTTTCAGCAGTCATCCCAAAAGAAACGAATTACATATCTGTTTGTCCAATTGAATTACAATTCCCTCTCACTTTGAAGTTTGCATAATTGGATAAACAGTTGCCAGTAATTATAGATTAAATTTTGTTGCAGCTTTTGATAGAAAGGATTTAATTCCCTGTGAGTGATAGTACTTTGAAGTATTATAAAAGGTCATATTACTTTACAGTTCAATTATATGTTTTGTTGAGTTTACTTGACTGATAGAGTTTTTCCATTACCTAACTACTATTTCTATTGAACTTCTATTGGACAACCATTCATGTTAGCAAGTTGCTCATTGTAAATGATGGTTTGTTTTTTCTTATCAATCTAACAAATGTTTGGGAAAAAGTTACTTTTAGAGTACAAATGCTGCCAACAAGAACGTTTGCAACACATCCATTTGCTGAACTGCCAGTGCAGAGTCAAGCAAAATATTACTGTAGTTTCATCATAGCTGTTCATTAATTCCCAGTTGTTCTTGCTCAGGACTTTGAGGCCTCTCTGGGAAAAAAGAGTCAGTCCAAACGTCATCTACAGCACATGTCATTTGCCTGGTGACACGGCAACGCTGGTAGTTGGAGGCATCGACGGCGTGCTTCGTGTTATGTGCCAAAGAACCGGTGAAACCATTCGATGTCTTGTCGTGGACGCTGACCGCCCAGCAGAAGCCGCATCTAGATCTAGGCAGCAAATAGAGAAGAAACCTGTTCGCAGGATTGACCCTGATGCACAGGTTGACAGCATCCCGAGACGCTTGCGCCCTCAGATTACCAGCCTGTCGGTTGGTATGAAGAAGATTGTGACCATGCATGGCGAAAACTACATCCGGGTTTGGAAGTTTCGCCCGAAAAGCTCGTGAAAAGGGGCAGTTGTCGGTAATCTAGTTATCTGGTAGCCCACTGTTTGTAACCCTGTACTGGTGTGGTGTGTCACCTGCATTTGTAAGAATAGCCTGAAGCATAGGTCGTTGTACACTTGTACTCTTTCTCTTAAGATAAGATAGCAGTTAAAAAACGTTTGTACTCGTTTTTTTTTTAATAAATGCCTGTATGAGAAAAAAAAAAAAAACGTTTGTACTCAGCTTACGGCCGGTAAAGTAACCTGGTAAGCTAATGCATGCTGATAACTGAATTTGTCTTGAGCAACATATTCAAGCCGTTGTAGTCCGAACCTGAACTTATCCATACATTGATTATTGTCGGCAACAGGATTAGTACTTTATTAAAGGAAAACATTGATAAAACTATAAAGGCGTAGACTCATCAAGATCAAAATTTGTGTATAAATTGTAATTGTATTTGAGTTTATATGTACAAGTTATGATTTTTTTTTCAAAATGTGCTGCACATTTACTTCGAGATTAATATAGGTCGACCTTTTGACATGGGTAGGAAATTAATTGTCGTTCCCTTAGTGACATATACTATATCCATTCCAAATTATAAGGCATTTTGACTTTTTTAAATACATTGCTTTTACTATGTATTCAGACATAGTGTATATCACCTTTTTCTCAGTAATACTGCTGGCCTATTTTGGGGCAAAATGCACTGATTCGAATTTCCTTGATGTTTGAGAACCAATCTCCTTGGATTCTATATATGGAGATAGTGCCCTGTGCAAACCTAAACACACCAGTTCCTCCGACAATAGCCCATTCACCTTGAACCTTATTTTGATTTCCTATCGCCTTTAAACTAGACCCCCCGAACCTAATAATTCAGGAACACATGAAACAATAAAGTTAAGCGTTTAACAGATGCACCAAATAAAATCAAGTCCATAACAAGCCATGTGCATGCCACAAAATGTACTAATCTGGATTTTAGTAACCAAAAATAAGTGACAGAACAGTGCATAGAAATAAAACAGAAATATGTTGAAAATTATGCTTGAAGTAAGATGAGCACATTTAGTACAAACCTTTTATCGGTAAAAACTATGCTGCTCCAGTGGAACCAGTCATCGTCGTCCATACAAGTCTCTGTATGCAGGCCTTGTGCACGTGCAACAATCTTTGCACTCGGGCCAAGACCATCATATATGGAATAGTCATGAACATTGGTGTAACCAAACAAAAGAGGCTGCTTTGGATCTGCTATATTTACTTGGTTGTGGTATGGTCCATCGATGGTCTGGTGCATGTACAAGTTCCGATTATACTCAAGGGACTGTGTGGTGACAGGATTTATAGTATTAGCCCTGGAAAGCTACAAAGTGATGGATTAACTATTGTCAGTGCTAATATAAATATTTTAATACTACAAAATCCATCTTTAATGTTTCTCCACCATGAGTCTAGCTAGGGAAATACAATCAAGACAAAAAAAAAGGTTATGGTCACCTTTGTATCAGTTGGAATGTTCTGTGGCGTGCAGCAAAATGCACTGATACGAATCTCCTTGATGTTTGACCTTATTCCAACTGTGTATTCTTCGGATGGAAATATTACCTTGTGCAAAAGTAAACACTCCAGTCCCACCAACAGTAGCCCAGTCGCCTTCGACCTTATTCTGATTTCCTATTGCCTTGAAACTGGATCCCTGGAATCTAATGCATTAATATGAAACCAACAATCAATAATCTCACAATTGTTCTAGCAACACTTAACAATATTACAATTTTTTAGTGTTGTATGGTGACTCAAATCTTACTTGTAATAGGAGTCAATAGATGTGTGCTATTAGGACTTCTAGTTCTACTAAAACTTGAGTGTAGAATCCTACTAGGAGTAGGACTCCTACTTGTATATATGGGGGCCTTAGAGGGCACAATATAAACAAGGGGTAGAGGCCACATGATCAACCAAGCCAACACATGGGTCTCATCCAAGGCATATAAGGAACAATTAGAAATGCTCAAGAGGATTAGGCTAGTAATTCTATTGCACTATATTCTTGTATAGGGCAAGGATCAGTGGGTCCTAGAGGGTCAAGTAGGGTTTTGAGAGAGCGACAATCACTTATACTCTTTTTGGAGTTGTGCTAATAGAATTTGCGATCGGCTTTGCCAAAATTCTAATATCTTGTCGTGGTTGCTTCAACATCGCCATTTAGAGTTTTCAACACGATTCGACTAAATCGTTCTTGATACGGTGGTGCAAGCTTGTGTCATACTCGCAACATCCTTTCAAAGATCCGAGGGCTGCTACGCATAACTAGGGTTATCAAATTCTAACAAGTGGTATTGGAGCCAATGTCAGATTGATTTAACTTTGTGAGAAGGTTGACAGAGCGGAAGCACAAAATTAAGACGATGTCAGGGATGTGAAATCAAGTAGAGAAATTTGATGCAAAGGAAATTTCAGTGTGTGGCAATGTGTGGTAAAAGATGTGCTCTTGTCCAACAATAATTGATTGATGCTCTTGACGGCACCAAAGTAAACAACACAACTGATGAAGAATGGAAGGTGATGGAGTGGAAGGCTGTCAGTACAATTTGACTATGTCTCTTCGATGAGGTAAAATACTCGGTAATCATGGAGAATTCATCAAAGAAATTATGGAAGACCCTAGAAGAGTTGTATAGGGCAAAGTTGCTAACAAATCGGTGGGTACTGAAGCATAAACTATTCAGGTTACTCATGGAGGAAGGTACATGATTTGTCGACCATCGTCTAAATGTCTTCAACAAGCTTGTCACGTAGCTAGTTAGTGTGGATGAGAAAATTGAGGAAAATGATAAGGTTGTCATACTGGCTTCATCATTACCACCATCATGGGAGCAGTTAGTGATGAATATTCTCGTCGGAAAAACTACTCTCAACTTCAATGAGACAGTTGCATACCTATTAGAGGTGGAGTCCTTGAAGAAGTCGTAGGAATATTCATTCTCTGGTGATAAAGCTTTGACCATTTTAGGTAGAGCAAGAAAAGTCAAGAATCATGGGAAGAAGAAAGGCAAGAGCAAGGGACAACGTACATGCTACCTATGTGACAAGGAGGGTCACATGATAAAGGACAGTCAAAGTTTGAAGATTGTGAGTGTTGCATGCTCATGGCATGTCAGGATTAAAGTGATGTACTTATCGTTAGTCAACCAGGCACTATTCATGATTGGATATTAGATTCAAGAAGTTGCTTCCATATATATATGTTCAGTGAGGGAGATGTTTGATAAAGGATACATACACCTAGGGAATGGAACTGTTCACTTAGCAGATTGCAAGGAGTATGCAGTCATTGAGGTGGGAACAACTATATTGGAGATGCATGATGCAACACATTGCATACTAACGGGAGTTTGGTGTATCTTGGGCTTGAAGAAGAATCTAACATCTGTGTGGTTGCTAGAACTTTAAGGTTGTGGCTTATCGCTTCAAGGTGGAGTCATGCGAATTAGTTGCAAAGGGAAAATAATTATGAAAAGCATCTAGATTAATGGAGGATACCGAGTGATAGGAAATTTTATGGGTGGTGCACCTTGGGGAGATTTGGTAAAAATCTTGATCTAGAGAAAGAAGTCGTCTCATCAATGATAGGTACTCAAATCTCAATTGCGGTCAAGTGTAAAGTTGCAAAAGACGGTTGCAAAATCTTACAGTTGTGAGGCGAAGCCATAAGCTATTGGAAGAAGGAAGACATGGTGGGACCAACCACGTGGTACCAACAAGGTGTGGGGCTTGGAGGCAGTACAAAACTGTGGCACGGAGGGTGATAGGAGAAGGTGGTGTGGTTAACCAAACTATACAACAAAGGAGATCTCGGTGGAAGCTTGAGGCGACTTGAACCGACAAAGACATTGTGGTAATGTGCATGAGCCCTTGTGGTGGGGGGCACTCTCGAGGTGGGAGCATAAATAAAAAAAGGAGCTGATTTAGAGCGAATTCTTGGTGGAGCACGATGACTTCAAATGATTAGAGTCAAGATTGAGATTGTTGTATATGGTGATTCAAATCCTACTTGTAATAGGACTCAATAGAGGTGTGCTATTTGGACTAGGACTCCTACTTGTATGTATGATAGGCGTTTTAAGAATCCACCTCTGGTGTTTAATTTTAGAGTCAGTCTTCATGGTCACCTCGCAAATCAAAGTGCTTTATAGATACCTTGTAATAGAGTCGGCCTCTATGTCTTCCTGTGGAGAGGCTTAGAGTCTGCATCTCTAAAAGTGTTGTTGTGGTAGTGATGCTTTATAGTTTATAGATTGAATATTGGATTGTTGTGTCCTTATAATCTTGATGAACTGAAGCACTTGAGGTCTTGTTGACAATTTGGTGAAGGTCTTGGTGACATTCGGTTCCGCCCTCCGAGCTTGGTGTGTGAAGCAATGTGGCAGAACCGCCAAAATAACGAACTTACGGAGGCGCTTGTCTTCCACTAGACACTAAGCACCCCGAGAGCCACTACATTAGGCGGATTCCGTCGAGCACACCCCTAGGGAGAGCCCGAATAATCCACATTTTTCCTCGGGATCCAATAATGAGAATGAGTTTACATTACTTAGTCCATTTCATACATCCGAGTTCTTAGAAATACCTTCTTTGCAGGACCAAATTCAGAGTGTGAAAATTTAAACAACAAAATGAAAAGAAACATCTATCAATAATATACAAGGATTCGTCTGTGCCCACCAGAAGAATCCTTCACACAACGACTACTCCTCAAGATATACGTGCAACAGGGGTAAATAAACCCTGAGTACACAATGTACTCGCAAGACTTATCTGACTAGTGCAAATAATTTCTTGACTCCAAGGGATATGATAAGCTTTATGGTTTGCTGGGTTTCCTTTTTGCGAAAAGCAATTCTAATAGTGCATCCTTATTCATGTTTATTGTTAGCAGTCATGATTATTTCATTATCTAGCCATTCTATGTAAGCACCTGTTCTACTTTCAAGCAGGAGTTGAGCAAACAGTTCCATTTATCCATCTTTCATCTTTCAGTTCTTACTACGGTGCTAGACTGTAGACAAGCCGTACCGGATCGCCCGGCGATTCGCGAATCAATGTGCCCAGCTGGGTACCCCAAAACACACGCCCCACTTGTACCCCAGGCACAAGCAGGACCAACCCACCACTCTCCTGTCATGGGGTCCAGGTCTCCGTCCAAACTTGGACTCCAAGCCCCCGCTCCTGAGTCTCGGACTCAGTGCGGTGTTTAGACCTCCACCATCCCCGCCTCCAATCAGTCAGTCCGGAAAGAGCCAGAACCCACGACAAGAGAGCAACAAGCCTTCTTTGCACCTATACACAAGTATGTGCTCCGGATAATAAGTCTGTGACTTGCCTAGAAACCAATGCAACGACCGATCCTTAACCGACACAGACAGGGAAACAGTGTAACCAAGCTATGCCCCGTTGGCCGCAGGACACAACCTCTTACACCCACCAATACCCAAACCATATCCCTGCCCGGTCTCCATTTTTCTTTCACCATTTTTGTCATGAGTGATAATAATAATCACCTATTGTGAGTAACGACAGGTTACTCACGCTACCAAAATCCTTAGCATAGCAACTACTTGACCTATGCTAGTAGGACTCATAGGTAGGTATATCTATGCATGTAGTTTCCATAAAATGCCTGTAACGTAAATGCACATCATATATATATTTAGTGATCATTCAAAATAACGGTTATGCATTGGGGCTTGCCTTGGGCAGGCGGGGTGTCAACAAAGTCAGCAACTAATGGCTCTAGGGCTCCCTCCTGTACAAGAATCTCCTCCTCATATTCCTCGATGATCTTCTCATACTCATGCTCGTCCGCAGGCACGAACTCTACCAACTCGTTATCTATATGCATAAAATGATGATGCAACACTTAATAATACGGCAACAACAACTCTTAAAATAAGAATACATCTATTAAGCTACTAAGCTAGCTCTACCGACTAAGATGCTAAGTTACCTATTATTACCACTAAACAAATATGAAACATTGCATGTATTATCTTAGCAACTAAAGGTATCCCTATTCTTATTATCGATTTAATATATATACTACAACAAGGAATACTTAGCTACCATATTTCTCAATATATTCCAAGGCTACAAAAATTACAGTGAGTGCCTAATAATGTTATGAGTCTACTGTAAAATTTTCAGGGCTAGCACTTCTACCATTTCATCACAAAAATTCATTCTCTAAATAATCATAATAACAACAAGAATATTACAACAAATAAAGTAACCCTAAAGATACCATAGAACTGTATGAACTAAATACACTAAGAGCTAGATCATGAATTGAGGAACCTAACAAAATTTACTTCACAATTTTTGGACACTTACATAATTTTATACTAATTATCAAAGATCAGTTCACAATTTAACTAGAAAAGCATTAACTAATTCCTTAGAAAAGAAAAGGGCAAAACCTCCCATCGCGGCCCATCGTGGCTCGGCCCACGCACGCGCAATCCACCGGCGTGGCCCACGCGGGGCGAAGCCCAACCGCGCGGCAATGGCACATTTGCAAAAATGTCCCTGCGCTAATACCGAATCGATCCGCAGTCCATAGCACTATTCCTATAGTGTGGACTTAAGCAATCTAGCCCTCGAAACAATCTATCTTTACCACGGCCAGGTCCTCGGGCACCCGCATGTGCACCAGCGCGGCGGCGACGGCACTGCGCGGTGACGCTGGCCAACCTATCCCCTCCCCGCCCCCGATAGCGAGCCGATGCTCACCTAGATGCAAACGCGAAGCGATGGGTGGTGAAGCGATGAACGGAGACGCGGTCCAGAGCTCCCTCCACGGCGATGGATACCCTACGGCGGCGGCGGCCATGTTCCCATGAGCCAAGGCACAAACGAAGCGAGCGAACCAAAGGATGGGCACAATCAACTCACCCCGAAGCTACCTGTGGTGGTGGCTTGATAGGGGACGGACCGGGTGAGTTCGGCCATGCTCACACGAAAAGCACAATGACGGGCTGCGGTGGCGCGACCATGTCAGCAGTGCCGGGAATGCAGTAGCAGTGCCAGTGGGGCGCGCACGTCGAGAAGGACTGCGAGGTGAGGCTGGGGGTGCAACCAATTGGGCTCAGGAGGACCAGGCGAGTAATGCCCACGGTAACGACGGCTAAGCCTTTAATGGCGCGACGGCGGACGTCCGGCTCCAAATTGGAGCTTGCCAAAGCATGATTGGACACGGTGCGGGGTCGGTCGGCTAGCAGGCTTGAAGACGGAGTTGGGGGCGCACCGAATTGAATGGACAAGACCTATCTATGCCGGATTGATGGCGTGGCCTGGCGGCATGGGCAACAGAGGAGGGAGAAGAAAGAGGGGATGGGTCCGGCTGCTTGTCCAAGCTTTGGTGGGACGCAACGGCAGCACATGCGCAAGCACTATGAGCCAATGCAGCCAGGAGAGGGGGCATACCCGCGTGTGGGCAGTGGCAGCACAACAGTGCGACCGTGGCGCCATTAATGGCGAACGATAAGTGGGTGGCCTTGGCAAGGCCATGTGCATGAATTCGTGATGACAACGACGTAGAGGCTTAGGCGGACACGACAGCAGCGTGCTGGGGCACGATGATGACAGTGCGACGTAGCACGGTGATAGGACGGCAGCGCAGCGGTGTAGGCGGACGCGACCCAAGCGGTGTAGGTGCACGTGGGCGACCCAACAATCTTGACCGTGGCCAGCAGTAGCGCGATGACATAGCGAGGCAGCCGACAACGGACTGGCCAGGGCATCAGGCCCACGACGACAGCAGCGGGGTAGAGTGGCCAGGCCCACCAGCCCCTAGTGTCCTGCCGAGCGTGGCGCTGTGCATGAGTCCGTGCGTGCTTGTGTGCGTGAGCCACGTGCTTGGGCGCGGCAGCAGCGATGCGGAGCCTATGCGGTGGTGTGCGTGTGTGCGCGCGTTGGGTAGGCCGGCGCTGCGACACCGAGTGCCGAGGCA